ATATAATTGAACGCAAAATGAATGGAAGTAAACAGAATGTCCCCTCAAGGATAGTTTCACAAGATATGCATGAGGGTGTGTAAGTGTGATAAATTACATAATCTAGTTTGGGATGAAATGCAATGACTTCCTGAACAATCCACACAAGCTTATCTTCCAATTCTCAGTAGTAGGAAGGTGCTTGCTGCATAAGACGTATGCAACTCCTCATTGATGATAACAGATAAATAGGGAGCTAAATTGAAATCAACTGAAAAAACATTTAAGGCACAAAAGACAGATAAGTTGATAAAGATCAAACATGACTGACAAGTTTTGCGTTTGAAAATAAGGGCAATTTTATGTCATCCGCTGCGAGCCATTTGACTACCCCAGTCAAGCTTCAGTTTCCCTTATATTTTATGACATGCACAAGAAAAATAAACATTTGTCAACCAATTGCAAACTACAATAAGGTGATCAAATTGACTCGCAATGCTAGCAGCAGTTCCGTTTTAGGAGGCAGAATTTTGTTTATTTATTATAATTCTATGATATGGAAAATTTACGGGAGAGTGCAAATGTTGAAAGAGGGGTAAAATACGGTAGATTCCTTGTTAAAACGGGAGTTCCGACAGCTAAGATAAAATGATGTGGTCTTTTCTGATACCAACCCGGGGCAACTGTGAATATAGCATAAAATAAACACTGACATACCTACATGGGGCCTGACCTTCTGAAATGTTGTCTGCAGGTAAAAACACATGCAAACTTGTTTTTACCAGAGTGGATCTTCTAAGAAGGCTCAAGTGCAGATGATCTTCTAAAGACAAAACTGTGCACATTTATGGGTGGAGGATATGCAAATGTAAATATTTAGCATGTGGAAAATTATCTTTCAAGCCGGAGGAAGGGCTCTGAACCATCCCCCTCCATCTATGGCCAAGAAAATTATTTTGTTCCTTTTTTAATGTTTGCAAAGTAATACAGTTTTATATTCAAGTAAAGTAAAGTATTTTCCTTTTTTTTCTTCCAATTATCCACTGCTGTATTGGGGCAGTACCACCACCTGCCATTCTTTACACACTGAAAAAAATAAGGTGATAATGCATGTTTTATTTGGCATTTACTTAATCTTATTTAGTAACACAATTGTTTTATGTACTACCCTGCTAACATGAAACAATTGTGTTACTAAATAAGATTAAGTAAGTGCCAAAAACATTTGCATAATTTTTTTTGGTGTATATAATGATGCCACTGGCGCAGCATCTTAAAGTTTATCAAGCTGGTAAACATTAGGGCTTGCTCCCCTGCTGCTATAGATAGGGAAATACATAACCTAAATTGTCGCCTCTATCCTGGGTGAGGCAGCGGCTGTATCACTTTAACACAGAAACTGAAGCCGCAGGAACAGCTTAACTTTGGATCCCTATAACCTCCAGGAAATCTGCTCTCTGTGCAGGCGGTCACAGCTTGTAAGCACTCTGATAGCGCAAATAAACTCAGCGGTTTCTGAAAAGTTTTCTTGTATCTTTCTTTGCTTGATGAAGTTACAATTAAGACCAAACCAACAGGCATTGTTAAAAGGTTGCAATGTTTTGAATTTGATTTACATGGCTACCAGACCTTTCCACAGCTGCATCAGGCTGCTGTGGTGGTGAATAAATAGACAGTCTCAACGGTTTAAGAAAGATTTTGACCAAAACTAAACAAGTCACACAAGCAGAAGCCTATAAATGGCATCAATTTTGGCCAAAGCAGGTATGGAAAGCCAGAAAGGCTACATGCAATAAATTAAAAAGTGGCAAGATATATATTGCAAATAAAAAAATGTCCTTCTTATGATCTATGCATTTAATAAATTGCTTTTTTATTTTCATACTTTTTTTTTATTTTCATTACATTGTCACAAGTATAAGGCAACAAAATCAACTCTCTCCATCTCCTTGGGGAGCAGTGGGCTGCCATTGTGTGGCACCAGTGGAGCATTGTAGGGGTTAAGGATCTTTGCTCAGGGACTCAGAGTGGCAGTCTGTGAGAGTGGAGCTTGAACTCAGAACCTCTGGTTTCCAAGCGCAATGCCCTAACCACTAGGCCAGCACTCACCTTAAATGAATAAATAATTTAATTAGTAACTTAATTAGCTACATACATATGGTTCCTGCTTCCATAAATATCTTATGTATACATATGGTAGGAGGGACCAATCCTAATATATTGTCCCAGGGCCCAGCTAAGGTTGTCAGCTCGGTGAGAAATAGACAACAGCTGAGGAGAATTGAGGCGCAGCTGAGATAGGGGCACTGAAAGACAAAGGAAAGACACCTAAAACTAAAACAAAATTAACATAATAATCAGGAACCAGAGAGATGTTTCTAAATTGGCTTCCTGTTGAATAAGCTAGGCTTAGTTGGCCAAGTCTGGCCTGATTTTCATTTGTTGTCATTTGGGTTTCATAAAGCTGGCTCAGTCTGAATCCGATGCAGCTAAAGTTAGGCTTATTTTAAAAACATCAAATTGCATCTCCGTCTCCTGTTCCAATCCACAATCCACAGTAGGAAAGGAACTTTGGACTGCTATACTGATCTTGGACAGCTGTTAGCCTTCCAGATGTCAGTACAGTATGTGACAGACTCTTTGGAGATGCTTTTCGAATTGGGACAACAAAATCAAGTCACACAAGTTCATAAAAGCTAAAACTTATTAAGTTGGACACATTTTTATGTGTCACACACAGTTCATATCAACTCCATGAGATGAGCTGTGCCTACATGTCCTGCTATGCAAAGAATTGTTGGCAACCATATACTGTAGCTCACATGCAATGGATAGGAATATCTGGACGTCCCTATGAACTATGGATAGGAGGCATCTTACTTCCTTTTCCTACTTCCTTACTTACTTACTTCCTAGACTTGCCTCTCTATTTGGACAACATAATAGTTGCTGCTGACACACTTCCCGTTTGGCTTACGTTTCCTTACAGATTTGCATTATTTGGAAGCAACCTTACCCTTATCAGAACCAGGTTTAGAGCTGACTAAGTTCAAACTGCGTATCTTCTTTATTGAATCCTCCACTTGTGCGCAGAGTATTTGACAGAAATTGGTACTAATTATCACTCATTACAATCAGTGTCATAATTTGGCCATGATGTATGATGTGATCAAAATGGCAACTAGATATAAGATAACTATTATGGAATTAATTCAATGCAATAAAAGATATACGTACATCATTATTTTTTTTTACTCATGCAAATATATATACAGTTACGGAGCAAATAAATGATATTTCCAAAATATATAGAAAACATTTTGTCTTGTATTCTTTGTGAAATAATTTTGTCCCAAGGCCTTAAATGTATCCTCACACTCATGCATGTGTGTCAGAGATGGCATGCCTGTTTACAGAGAAGGTTGTGGAGCACTTTTAAGGAAAGCAAAGCACCATATTTCTTTAGGGATCATAATGACTCATGATAGTCTTCTCTGACGCTTTGATGAATATTAAACACTTCTACTGTAGAAGAGTGTTGATTTACTAAAGCACCTATACTGGACCTCAGTTGACCTCTAATTGTTCCACAGGCCTTTTCCCCAAGCCTGAATGTCTTTTTGTGGTGTGAAGTCAGGCCGGGCAGACCTTCCCTTGACTTTGTTACATAGCTTTTTTTTTTGTTAATGCAAAGGTTATTTGAACAGGAAAATCTGTTCCAGGTTTCAAGTGCCTGAATCTATTTGTTGCCTTGTTGAAATACACTCAGTTGGATTTATGAGAGTTTGCCATTTTTAAAGATTTTGCCCTGTGTCTATCTCACCACTGGTGTTACTACTGAAAGAAAAGGATGTAGGTGGGAAGCTTTTGTTTAAGCTGCTGCAATTTTTGGTATTTTTAGATTCTTGTCGACTAAAATCAGACTAAATCAGAATGAAAAGTTAATGGGACTAAAACTATGATAAAAATCTCTAAACTAAAACTAAACTAAATTATGACAAAAAAATTTGACTAATTTTCCAGTACAATCTTTTACAATTTCGTTAAATAGGTATTAACCTGTAGTCGTTTAAAATGTCAAAATGTACACTGTTTAAATGTTACATTTAATTTAGATCTGTTTCTTGAAATATTGTGAACAATGACAAACGTAACACTTTCCACATGTAATGACCTGCCATCCACTTTATCTGGTTTTGATGATGAACTGTATTTTTCTTTAAATTTTTCAATTAATCTTCTGAACTGAACATTTGGTGAAAGTTACTCCATGAACTCTTTGATGCACTGTGCAGGACTGCACAGTCTAGTGAATTGCATGTATATATATATATATATATATATATATATATATATATATATATATATATATATATATATATATATATATATATATATATATATATATATATATATATATATAAATATTGGGTAGCTTGGGGGGGAATTTCTTTCTTTCTTTTGCCACCGTGAGTAAAGTTCATTCTAGTTAAAAAGGAGCTGCTAAATGTAGAAACAGAACAAAGTTTACATTTTCTGTGTTGGAAGTGAAAAAATATATGTATTTTTTTCTCTAGTATTTCTGTCTTTCCCCATTATTTTTCTATTTTTGTTTTTAAAGTGATGTTGCTGAAAATTCTTGACCTCTAAAAAAGAAAGTACAAATTTACCAAACATCTGCCAGGAAGAAGGTGGCTCTGTGTTAGGGTTGTCTCGGACTTTCCTAAGAGCTGTTATTTCATAGGTGGCTGAATCTGATAAGAGCTTTGAAGCTTATGTAATCTCCTCATTGACAGCTTGATAACTACTGTTCACTCTCTTCCTCTTTTGTCACCTCCACCTCTCCTCTTTCTGAAATTCATTGAACAACCCTTCCTGCAATTACTACTTTGCTTTGCCTGCACTTATTTTTTGATGTTTTTTTTTTTTTTGTGTGTTATATTTTTCATTTTCTTCTCCACCAACACGTCACCTCTATTTTACGTCACATTTTTCTCCTTCCATTTCTTTTCTATCTGCAGTGGTTCTGTTGGACACAACAACAGTACTGGGAGAACTGGACTGGAAAACCTTTCCTGTCAATGGGGTGAGTGATATCCCACCAGCAGGGTTTTACGGTGATGTCTTTTTTTTTTCACCAAAATAATAATGTTTATCAAAAATGAAAATAGATACCATCAGGAAATATATAATATAATTACCTAAAACCTTCTGTCATTTACTGAAAACTTGTTTTTATTTTATTTTACTTTCATTTACTGTAACTGAAACAAATATTTTTAAAGTTTTCTTTAAAAATATTATGAATAGAATAGAATAGAAAATCCCTTTATTGTCCCACAATGGGGAAATTCTAGTGTTAGAGCAGCAAAAATATAGAAAATATGGTCACACAAATCTGGACCTTAGAAGAGTGAACATTTGTGTGAATATTTTTTTTAAAAACAGCAGAGAGAGAATATTTGGTGCCTGTCATGACTTTAAAAAAAATGTTTAAATGAAATTTAAACAGTACCGCAGCAGAGCAATACTAGTTTTAGGGGGGGGGGGAATCCTTAAATCACTGCATTTTTCTGCATCTGGATGGATCCTGTTCACCCTCAGTGCAGTCTCCTAGAGTAGCAGCTCTAATGTGCTGTCCAGCAGCGCAGGATTATTTCACAGGTGGCGTATTTTAATCACAATCATCAGATCAAATGGAAAGGTAGCTTGCAGCAAGCTTGTCTTTTGAAATCAAAATCTGTATTAAAACCTGTAGCACTGATGAATATAAATGTGCTCTTTTTCCACAGAGGAATTTGATTTTTTTATGTATTAATCACTGTTTAAATGCTTTATTACATTGTGTTATAAGATATACCAAAAAACAACATATATGCTTTTCTCTCTGTGCTTATACTCTATGGCCACTCTCCACACAGCTGTGGTCCTGACAGCACACAAGCTGTAACATTCAACTTTCTTTTTTTTAATATTCAAGTTATACATTAGTAAAAACGATCATTGGTGAGTAAAATTACATCAGAAACTTTGTATTCTGCATTATTGTGTCTGTATTCTGTATTATTATATCTGCATTACAAAGTTATAGAAAAAAGTACACCCAGCGCAAATAGTACATCATGTGTAACTTTGAAGCTGTTCTTTTCAGTGAGAAATGTAGCTTATGACTTGAAAGTAGACTATACACCATCCTGGTGTTTTGTATCTGAGCTCTAACCTTTTCAGCATAAGCGAGTACCAAGAACAGGAGAGCGGGGAGTGAGGAGTAACAGGACTAATTTCCCCCTAAGGAAAGGCAGGCTCAGAATCTAGGATGGATGTGGGACTTTTGAATTTCAGTGTGAACTGTGGGAGTGGAGGGCAGCAGTTGCACAATAGCTTTCAGCTGAAGTGTGTTGCAGATTCAGTTTTATAAATGGGGTTGGTGTTGTGTTATTTCTTGGCTCACTTGAGAAAGTCCCATGTGGGGCTTCCACAGATATTAAGTGCTTTATTAAAATCTATGTGCTCCTTTTATTCTGTTTGTGTCTTTGTTGGGACAATCTCAGCATTGGGCTTTTGGGGTTTTCATACTTCCCCACCATACTTTAAAATTTTTACGGGACAGTGGGAGTATAAGCGTAGGTGATGATGTTGTGTGTGTGTTCTCATAAACTTTGCTGTATGCCTGAAAGTCCGTAACATGCTGAGTACAGCACAAAAGGCAGTATTTTTCCCTGACATCTTCTCTTTTGAAGTTGATGCTACTGTTCACTAAGTTTATGTGCTTTCTGAAGTTTAGGGTGTTGAGTCTGACCCTACTGTCATCTTGCATCTGCACCAGCAGCTGGTTGTTGTTTCCTTAAAGAGCTGTACTTTGCTTTCCCATTTTACCTGAAGGTGGCATGGGAATTGTTTGATAAACCCAAAGCAGAGGCAGGTGGCATGAGATTTAGTGGTTAAAGCACATTATGTATTTGTGTGAACAGCATGTGTTTCTAAATATATATTTCCAAAAAATACAAGAAAGGTTTTATGTTTAGGAATTATTATCATAGCCAGGTGTTTGGTTTTAACCACACTAATTTATCAGGAGAAAGCAGTTTTATTTAAAACTCATTTAACTAAAGTATGATTCACTTAAAGGTATGCCAGCACACAAATATTAGAAATCTTACAGTAGTAGGAAGGTTAACAGTAACCATACAGTATTAGTAACAAAAATGTCCAGTTCAGCACTATTGGTTTGGTTCGGTACACCTGGAATCAGGCAGAGCTAGCATTGTCATTTTTGTTGCACAACATTATAGTGTGACACCAAAACAGAACAGAGAGGACTCCAAAATATTACTAAAGTCTGTTTGGAAATACATTTCTAAAACAACCGCAATGGAAATCTGCATTTTTTTCATCAGTTAAAAATTGTGATTAGCCAAGAGTTACATACTACATACTATTTTAAGGCGCTATCTGTTAGGTTCTACCCTTCTTGACGTCTGTTTGAGTTTCTTTTTAAGTTTTCAGTTTCATTTTGATTTGTTATTCTGTGTTTCTTTTCCATTTTGTGCTATATTTATACAGTCTTGTATTTTTTGAGTTGTTCTCTTTTGCCCCCTTGTGTAAGTCTCCTTCTCCTAGCTTCCATCTTGATTTTTCTGTCTACACCTGCTCCCAATCTGCTGATTAGCCTGGTCTTTGTTCGGTCTCCCATTTATACTCTTCCTCCTCTGTTTGCTGGTCCCTTGTCGTGGCTTGCCTCCTCAAGTGTGTTTTCCCCTGCTTTTTGGTTTCTAGTATTTTGTTTTGGATTTTGTTTCTGTTGCCCTTGTGATTTTATTAAAGCTTCAAGAACTCATTCCTGCCTCCCTCATCTCTGCATTTGGGTTCTCAACCAACCTCCACCCCCACATTGACTCTATCACGTATATCTAGTAGATTATATTGTCTTAATAGCAGCATGATTCAAAGTAATATAAACTTTTGGTATTTTCAAATTTCTGCAGTCTTATAAAATAAAGTCTAAACAACAAGATTGAGCATTTTCAAGAGGTTTGTTATGTCCAACATATTATGTTTCATATCATGAATTCATTGGCTTTAATCTTTATTTATCAAACATTTAGTCCGTTCTAAATGGCCCCTTTTAATTTGTTCCTATCGATTGAAGCGAACCAGATACGTAATTAAACATGAATTAAAACCAAAGTATGCACCAAAACCATGATTTTGTGTACTGACTTCTTTTATTAGTAGTCTTGTATAGGCTTCTAGTTTTCCCCCTTTAAAGCCTGGACCATTAAATGAACGAAAATTCCAAATTTCTAAAATTAGTGTTGTATTCGAACTTTCAGACAAATAGAATGAAAAATCTATAAATTGAATTAGATCCTTTATTTTATTTTTATGAATTTTTTGTCATTACACTTTCACAAGTACACAGCAAGGAAAGTACATTTAACCCATCGCCTTTGGGGAGCAGTGGCCTGCCAATGTGCAGCACCTGGGGAGCAGTGTGGGGTTAAAAGTCCTGCTCATGGACCCAGAGTGGCAGTCCGTTGGAGTGGGGCTCAAACTCAGAACTTCAGGATTCCAAGCGTAATTCCCTAATCAATAGGCTGTCACTCCCCAAAGCAGGCATTAGTGTGAAAGGTTTGCCTAAGGACTCACACTGGCAGCTCATTCCTCCTGGCTGAAATACAAACCCAGGCTTCCTGTTTGCAGGAAAGGTGTCTTACCATCTACCATTTGAGCTAGCCAGCCACTAGCTCAATTGGTAGATGCTTTGTAGCATCAATTTTGATAGATTAGGCATTTCTTTATTATCTTATATGTTTTCTGTTTGCTACATGCATCTGATTGTGTAAGTCAGGATGTTTGAGAACAAAAATGTCACACGAAGGATGCAGAGGTAAAAAAAAACTCATGTATCATATATGATATATATCATCATATATGATACAAATCGCTTTTAAGGGTTACATTGATTGATTGATGCTGTAAGGAGACATTTTTTTTAACAATGGGATCCATTTTCTAATGGTATGACAATCGAGATTTTTTTTTCTGGACAAATTTCCCACAAGACACACAACAGCTTCTTTCCTGCCTAGATGAGTATAGAAGTCAAGTCGTGGTTAGAAGCCTTCGACCAGGGGTCACCAACAATTTTAAGACTGAGGAATACTTCATGGCTACTGAGTCATTGGAAGGGCTACCAATACTGTTCATGAACAAGAGGGGTCGATCTCCTAAAGTTCATCCATGATAACATGATGACACATTTTTATTGTTAACTTTTCATTTCTAATTTTCTTTTAAATATAGTCATTTTCAAATCTCTATCAAATGCCAAAATGTGCTATATGATTACTATGATGAAATGCTCTATAAATAATAAAAAAGAAGAGAAAAAGAATCAAATAAAATTTCAAAGTTAGCCCACTTGTGAGTTGTTCTGTTTTTTTAGAAGACATTGAGGGCACCCCGTGTGGTCGTTGGGGGCACAGCGTTGGTGACCCCTGCCTTAGACTGTTAAGTTTAAAATTTCTTCCAATGACCAATAACAAAGTGCAATATAGTCTTAAGTATAAATGTGAATAAAAAAATTCTGAACTAATCTTAAAAACTAAAGTAAAACCATTTTGAAAATATGAATTGAAAACTCTATTTATATATGTATTTATATATTTATCTAGTTTTCTTTTTTGTTTGTTTGTATCTCTAAAAACCATAACAATTATATATTATAGAAGTGAAACTGAAAGAGATATTAAAATACACAGAGATTAAACTGATTTGATTGTATCATATAAGATTAACTCAAAAGGGGAAAAACTTTGAATTCAATTTTTACAAATATTTCATTTGGGACTGAGAAACAGCTGCAACAGCAGGTTGTCTTATGAAAACATCCATAATATTACACAAGGTTGCGTGTGCATGTGAGTCTGTGTTTGGTGAAATAGTGGTGCTTCTCTTGTATTAAAAATTGATTAAATCAATTAAGCAAGACAAATAATTACAGAGAGGCTTTAAAGGCAAATCACCTCTATGGAAACAGCTACTCTGTCCTTGTTTCTCAATAAACAGACTATTGCAATGGGG